TTTTTTTTTTTTTAATTTGTCGTGTGTTTGTCCTTGAAGTTTAAAAAAAAATGACGAGAAGCAAGATGGTGAATGATAAAAGGAGTTGCACACCATTGTAAACAATATCGCGAGAACGAGAGGCGATGAAGGGTGGTTTTCAAGGAAAAAAAGCTCGCGGGTGTACTTCATCAATAAACGTCCGGAGTATGTGTGTTAAAATAGATTTATAGCAACAGCTGCGCCAAGAACTTGAACCGATACGAAACCTTCAACCACTCTGGTTCGCCATTCGTGATTTCTTTGTGAAACAAAAATCAATTTAATGTTCGAGGGGATTTGATGGTCTAATTACAAGATTTGAAGATTCATTTGTCCATTGAGTTGATGTCAGTTCTATCAAACGCCGTGTGATTTATATAGATTTTTTTTTCTTTCTTGACAAAGAAAAAGATATTTAATTTCAAAAAATATGAAATGAAAGGAATGAAAGGAAAAATTGTTTAAATTATTATAAATTTATCGTGCTTGGATCATGATGTATTATTTTTTCTAAAGTTAAAGTTAAATGTTGAGTTTTTAATTGCCATTGTGTTGGTGAGATTTTTAAAAAACTGAATGATAAAACGAGAATAATGATTCTAATGTCATAATTACGATATTTTGAAACTTCTATTAGAATCTGATTATAAGTGAAATATAGTTTTTAACAGGCAGAAGAATTCATGATAAATTACTCAGTATCTGGTTCATGCAAATTTAAGATGAATCATCCAAAGGTGTTGTGTCTCTACACTTCTTTTCAAGCTATTGTCTTCTTTTCAGAAAAAAAATTATACAAAGAAAAAATAATTATACTTGTAAGAAGACATATATATATTTAAAGAATACCGATCAATAATCGAAACTCTAATAAAAAAAAAATAATCAAATTATTAAAGTACTTTTCTAATTTTTTAAATTTAATATTTTTAAAAATATAAAAATATGTATGAACTATCTTCATAAAGAAACAAATGAAATTTCTCTGTTATAAAAATATATTGAGATCTAACAGATTTCATCCATAATGTCGTTCTTTTTTCGATTCTATATAAAACTCGTCAAGTCCAGAAAAGCGAGAAAAATTGTGGTTTCAGAGGTAATCGCAGGCTCGTTTAAACCTGACGTTTTTTTCTTTGAATTAAATAACTTTATCATTCTTATAACAATTTAATCGAGAAAAGTCGAGAAAGAAAAAAAATTTGCAACTTTTATCGAAATATTTTATTTGTTATGTAATTAAATAGAAATTTCTCGGTATTATAATAATTTAAGAAAAATGTTATTATTAGAAAATATGTATTCTAAATATTAATAATTTTATATACTTTAATTTCTTAGATTGAACTATATTTTATATCGATAATTAATTAAATATTCATTATCTCTGATCCTATATGCATAATATTTATATTATAATCCATTCCATTAATTTCTCTTCAAAATTGCTAATTTCTATCAAATCTTGTTTAAATATCAATTACTGGATCCGCTCATTAACGAGAATCCGGTAAATATATCGTTTAAATTAAAGAGAAATATTACCTATCAGCTTCTATACATGACTATATCTATAATCGTGTATAACAAACTAATGGTGCAACCTCTGTAATAAATTTTTAATCTATGAATTATATTTACAAAGAATTTTCAAATATAGTAGGATTTGGAATAAGAATTATTTTTGAAATCAAATTACGTGAGATTGGAAATTTTAAAAGTATTTTAAATTAAATTTTTGAAATATGAATAATTTGAAGAATCATATCTGAATAAATTGAGAAGTAGTTCAGATTTGAATTAAGATTATTTCTAAAAATCACATTGAACTAGATTAAGAATTTCTTTAGAAATTTTGTAAGACTGAACTTAAATTTAAAATCTTATTAGAGTCGAATTAGAGACTTTTCAAATTTTAATTAATTCAGATTGAATTAAAATGTACCGTGCATCACAGCAAAATATATTTTGCATAAAATGAATAAATATCACGTAGAAACTTTCATCTCAGCCTGTATCCACGTAATGTCTGTAGCTTAAATGATATTTAAACTTCCTTCCCCATAAATCTGCACGTGTTCAAGGAATTCCATTGTACAACAACATCAAATGGTTGTTTCGTATGAAAGGTGGACTTAGTTAGATGACCATAACTGGTGAGTATATTGAGAATATTCTATCGATTAGCTTATTTTGCGGATGGAAGAAATAAATATACACGAAAAGAAGTAAAATCAAT